GGAGGGGGGGGAGAGAGGAAGCCAGAGGAAGATTCACACACTCGCCCCTGGGACGTTGAGAGCGCGAGGTCGAGGGTCAGCGTCGAAGCGGCGGAGAAAAATCTGATTATGCAACGAGTGCTCGTCCTGCACCGGAACGTTTTCGAGCGAGCGGTCAGACACGAGGAGGATAGCGGAAAATAGAGGACGAGGATGAAGAGAGAGAGAGAGAGAGAGAGAGAGAGGGTGGGGGTCTAGAAGGTAGACGAAGGGGGCAAAAGGTGATGAAGCTGGCGGGGCAGGAGGGGTGGAGGTGGAAAGGGGTCGCCCACGCACGCGTAGGATAATTGCACGCGTGATTCTCCCTCGGTGCTCGGTGTCTGTCTTCTTCTCTTTCCCTCTTTCTATATTCTTCTGGTTCACCTCCGTCTCGCTGGCCCGCACTGGATTCCCCGGCCCGTGTGTACGCGAGTTAACATCTGCATGCGAGAGAAGTCTCATGCATAGGAGAGACCGAAGCAAGCTGGAAGGAGCGGAGCTGCTCGAGCACGAGGTCAGAGGTCAGCCGCACTCTCGACGAGGTAGACGCGACGCCCACCGAGCGACACCCACGCGAAAATCCTTCTGCTCGAACCTCTCGTCTTTTGCCTACTTCCTCTTCTTCTTCTTCTTTTTCTTCTTCATCTTCCTCTACATCGTCGTCGTCGTCTTTAGTGTCTTCTTCTTGCTCTTCGTCCTCTTGGTCTTGTTTCCAGAGCTGGCCCCCTCCGTGTCCGCGGTTCTTCCTGTTCGCTTCTGCCGAGGCTTTTCTTTCGACTTTTGGTTCTTTAGCTTGCACGAAGTCCGTTTGTTTGCAGGTTTCGAATCTGATGATTCCTGCGTTTAGTTCGAAACAAGGATGATTCCAATTCTTAGCTGGACGTCACTGGACGTTGATTTAGCACTAACGATTCAGTTGATCCTTCAAGATTTTAAGATTTAAGATTAACAAGGATTAAGTTATTCAACTTTGGAATTTTTTAATTTAATTACTGTGGAGAATTGAGAACACAGGTGGAAATTAGATATTCAAAATATTAGCAATCTGATTTAGTCGACCCCATTTAAAAATAATATTTAACGATATTGTTTAAGGGTCATTGTATTAATCTATCTTATTAGATATCTTGAGAATTTATTCACTTAAGAACCAAGAAATCATTCATATTACAACAATTTCAATTTCTTCGAAATTTCATAAAATTGTAGAATCTAATTGCTAGATAACGAGGAAACCAGCTGTAATATTAAATATTAAAAAATAGAATTTGACAATATCAATCGATTGAAGAAAAACATTGCAAGTGAAATTTTAATTCCTGATCTCCATAACATTGCATAATATGAAAATTACCTTTGTATTCACATTTTAGAAACTTTATGGAGTATTGTATCTCATCGATATAACTCACTCTATAAATTTCATCACTATTGTATTTCATTGATATACGAGTATTCATATTTACAACAATTATTCATTTCCAGATTTTAAATTAGAGTAAAGAGCTGTGACTAACTCTTATCTTATTTCTCTGTGAGTTTTCGTTATAGAAGGTTAATTACTTCCTCTGTGTTTCCTTTACATCTTTGAAGAATTAGGGTATTAAATAAAAAAGAAAAACTTTATGACACGATAAATTGCACAAGCTTTTATTTACATATTATGGAAAATCATTTAAATTTCTACAAATACACTGTTTTATATCTGTATATAACTAAAGTGACAAGTTGATCATTTCAACTATTTTAGTTATTATTAGTGTTATTTTATTTCGTTCATTTTCAATTATATTCTGCGTTCTTTATTCCTGGATCTGTTTTGCTTATTACACATGTTTCGCTTACACTTTCACTTCATTCATTTCCCGCTATAAATTGTTGTACTTGTCCCACGCAAATAAACAGAATTGAAAAGAAATGATACTTCGAATGATACTTCCGCGGTCGTTGGCGAATCGAATTTCAAGTTGGTGCTTTCGATGGAGCTTTCGCGACTCGCGAGTCGTCGGAATGGAATGTTGGAAGGAATCTCACTCATGTGGACGAGAGGTAACGGCATAATCGACGGAATGTGACGGCAGACTGGCGGAGGAAGGAGGCGGACGACACCGGGGGCGCGTAATCCGGGACTCCCGGCCAGCTACGAACGACAACGCGTAAATCAACGAGTCGAAATTTATCGCTAATATTTTTCCAGCTGAGCATTTAACTGTCGGCCGGTCGTTAGCGCTGACAAAAGATTTAGAATTTATCGAGTTCCCGGCTTAACCGAGGCTCGCCTCGTCCTCCTCCTACCAAACAACCATCATCCGCCAAAACTTTCCATTTACGATCGTCGTCCACGGATCTCGCTGGAGGTCCCGCTCTCCTTTGTGCGCGGCGCTCGTGCACGCTTCCCGAATTCGATTATCCGCTCGTTGGATCGTGCTCCCCGTCCGCGGCGTTTACAACGCTGCCGGCAGGAAAGGCGATTATTAACGATTGAGCGAGGCCACCGCCTGATCAAGACGTTACCGCGTTATTGAAAGAAAGCGCCGTCGCCGTTGTCTCGTTAAGACGCGATAAATCTACCGGCCCCCGTTTCGTCCTCGTCCCGCGACGAGGATTTACTTCCCATCGGTGGTGGATTGTCTTGTCGCCGACGCTTCGCCCCCCCCCCCCCCTCGACAGCATTCGTCGCGCGATGTTCTTTGTTTTGTAGTTTGCAAAGCTTTGGAATTCTTTCCTTGGAGAGATATTACTTCTCGCGCAATTTCGCTACTCGCCAGCAAGTTATGTATGTGGAAACTTTTTTTTTTTAAACTATTAAATATTTATAAAAATGTTACGTGTACGAATCTTGTAATAACCATGGACGTTTTACTATTTTGATTTGAATCGCTTGGGTATTGTACAGGTAATCTTCACAATCAAAAGACAAAAGTAATTCGTTTATTTGTTAGAGGTTCAAAAAAGGGAAGTTACGATTTAATAAATATATCAGAGATAAATGCAATTTTAACCTTGTCACACGCGCCTCATTTACTTTTAGACTTTTGGTAATTAACGGAAGGTTAATAAATATTTTTACTTATTTATACTAATATTTGAACAATAATTACAATAATTTATTTTAATATTATACCTGAATACTTCAATCTATTTAAATCTCGTAGAATTGTCAAATCTAGGTAAAGACTCAACTAGAATAAAAAG